TAACGATCAAATTAAGATGATAAATAAAGAAGAAGAATGGTAATTACCAGCTCTCCATAAGGACCTTGTCCTGATTCATGAGGCAGAGAGAACCAATGGAAGCACCATCCTCGCTCTTTGTCAAGAACTTGCAGACGGGGCCGAGGCCGTACAGCCGCTCGACTTTGCCGTCGGGAAGTGTGCGGAGGGAGTAAGTGAGGATAGAGTAGCTGGCCAGGACGCGCAGCATGCGGTCCAGCATGACGGAGGCGTCAGGGTTCTTGGTCGGCAGCTGCGAAGATAAGTCAGCCGGAGAAACAAAAGCGCCAGGCCCGGCTTTTGCCATGATCTCGAGGAGGTCGAGCTCGATGGCTGCCTTGAGCACCATGGGGAGGACGGAGGCGCTGGCTAGCTGCATGGCGAAGAGGTTGGCTTCTTCATCGGAGACTTGGGTTGGAGTCATCTGAGTCTCTGGGGTCGAACCCATTTTTTGGATTTGGTGTTGTTGATGGTGTTGGTGTTGGTGGGGAGAGAGAGAGAGAGAGAGAGAGAGAGAGAGAGAGAGAGAGGAGGAGGAGGAGGAGGATGAGGAGGACTGAGGGTGGAAGAGATGGTGTGTGCTAAGTGGTAATATATATGTATTTCCTTGCTCACCCACCGCCATTGCTGTAAAAGCAAGGTGTCCACCACCCATGCAGGACCCCACATGCGTCCCACACGTCTTTACCTTTTAGAAAGCTAATTAAAATAATTTCAATTCTTTATCTGCTTTTGTTTTATTTCTTTTTTAGGAGGGTGTGTAGTCGGAATTCACACTCAATATGAAGGATTTGTACAAGCTTTGTTAGATTAGTTGTTTAATTAAGAGTATATATTTAATTTGTGTTTGATTTTTCTCCCCTTAATTTTGTTGTTTAAAAAGAAATATGAATAATTTACAAATCCAAACTTTCCTATTAAAAAGTGCAATTTTTCTTCGAATGTTATACTCAAGGTCAATGGGTTTTGATTAAAGGGAAAGCCTGTCACATCATTCCACTATATAGTATACATCACCAGTTCGAGCATAAGCATGCCAAAATAAAGATGACAAAAAAGGTAAACCCTTCAATCCAACGGGGAAAAAACTAAGCAAGTTTTTCTACAGAAATACAGCATGACATGACAAGGGATAATTGGAGAAAAGAATAGTGAATTGTCCCTCCGAAGTCCTTCTAGCTGGTGATAGAGCATAAATTTACAATAAGGTCGTTATTATTTATTTATTTATTTTTAATAGTGTGTGAAATGATTTTAATCTTCAATTTTCTCTTTAGTTGATTCGGCAAATTTTATAAGATGATAATAAGGACAATAATGTTTTATAGCATTGAATGTTGAGCGATCAAGCATTAATATATTTCATATGAGTCTCCTCATAGTATTCTTGATCAAGCATCATATTTTCTTCAAGCTCGAAAGGTAACATATACTGATTGAGAGACTTTTAGCCTAAATGATCCATAAGATTGGTATAACTCCTCACTCTAGTTCCTGACATTGAAAATTGATATAATTGGTCTTTGAGTTTGTCCCCTGTAAATCATTTTTTGTCATTCTGTGAAAAAATATGTCAATATCATCGTTAAATGGAGGGGTTAGTTTGACAAATATCATCATTAAAAAGATTGTTGTGTGGTCGTCCACATGACAATTTAACGAGGATAGTGGCAAATTTTTCACGGAATAAAATAATTTACAATGAACAAACTCAAAAACCATTTCTATTGATTTTCATTATTAAGGATCAAATTGAGGATTATGCTAATTGCCTAAAAGCCATGATTTAGATGGTATCATTGTCATGGTTTGTGTCATCGTGACTCATCCATGATGTATGAAAGGGATAGGTATTTCTATTGGAAATTTACAAATAAGAACAAAAATAAAAAACAAGAGTGTGACAATTTAATAAGGAGTTGGCCCGGTATCTTATAATATGCTATTACCTAAGCTGCGGTGCAAGATCAAATCAGTTGGTGAGTGGAACCTATCAATATTCATTTCCAAACGTTATAATACTTGACCTAATTTATATAAATATGGTGGTGTTACTTAGAAGACAACAATTATGCCTTCTCCATACTGATTCAGGTATTGTATTAGGGGTGTGCTATCCACACACCCCAAATTACTTCCCACACACCTCTTGTTAATTTCTGTCCGTTGATCTTCTTCAATTCATCTGATCCGACTGCTGAAAATTAAAAGGGTGTGTGAGAAGTAAAATGGGGTGTGTGGATATCACACCCCTTGTATTATTGATTTCTCCAACTCCACTTAAGCTGAAAGGTGTAAAACGTTTAGTTCTCATGCTTCATTGGGACATCATTCGCACATGAATTGTGTGAGTAAGTTGATTATCGTCATTCTTGTTTTGTGAGTTTTACATGCATGAACAGTCTGAATTAGTTTAAATCTATATTATACGACGTTAAATTAAATAATCTATGAAAATTCAGAAAAAGAAAACAGTTTAAACATAGACATCGAATCTTACTTCATATTAATGTTAATAGTTGCTCAAATTAATTAATTAACAAACTCCTGTGTTGAAAATTGAAACAAATGAAAACTCCATTTGGTATTAATTAGGTTTACAAATGGTATTATATAATTGGTCGCGGTTGGACAAATCAAAGGGGATCACATCTCACCTAATCTTTGAACATGTAGATGTCGGATCAGACGCAGCTATTGGTGAAAAAATCAAAGTGCTACTTCCACATCTTAATTGGACCCCATCTTTTTCTGGAACAAACTTAACATTTCCAGAGACCCAGACCCTGAGATGTAAAAAGAAAAAGTTCGACAAAATTCAGAACCAGAAGAGGTCCAAACTCCTAAGGTGTCACCTCTTTAACAAAACATCCTCACCAACCCTGCCAACAAAATCCTCATTTCAGGATTTGTAAATCATGTATATTTATCGTATATCGTACAATCAATTTTTGTTAAATACTGTTTGTGTTCAATTTTAAATAAAAAAACTTAAAACAATTAATGATCTCACGATATACGATAAACGAATATAATTTATAGATCTCCAAAATTCTCACAAAAAGAATCTGAAAAGAATCCAAATTCCCAACCCTGCAAAAGCATTAAGAATTATATAAAAAAAGATTATTAGCTTAACGTGTTTGATTATAATATTTGGTCAACAATCAAATGGAATAAAGGAGGATACGTTAAGATATAAGGGTATTATATATATTAATTGTAATGTTCCACCAAATACATTATAATTGGTATAAGATATATAAGTAGGAGTCAACACTAGAAATCGAAAACCGAAGCCAAAATACGAATTAAGCTGGACCGCATTGAACAGTTAAGTTTTTGCAATTTTGATACGATTTTGATTTGCAACCCAACCACATCACAAATGAAAAATGACTGATTCCTAACAATCATACGTTTGTACGTTTCCTTTCTTTGCTGCTACTTTATCTAATCTCTTTTGTGGTGAATTATTTCAAAGGGTCAAATCTTTGATGCATATAGCTCTACAATTGATGAAAGTTAATTGTAGGTGGAGAGCAACAAATGATGGGATAAATTTGTTTAACTTTAAGCACAAAATATATCTACAAAAGTATAAATCGGAATCATGGTGATCCGACGTATGGTTGCGAGCTTCAAGCTCCCAAAAGTTGATATAATAAAACATTTTCTCATGACTTGATTGATTTGTTGTTATCTCTTGCATGGTTACTTTTAGCTTTTTATTTTGTTATTTGTTTATACGTTTTTTGTATTATTATGCTCTCATGTTTCTTTAAATCTTAATTTATATAAGTGCAAGTGAATGTAATGTAATTCTTCTCCCTAGTGCTTTGAAACCGAAACCATTTGAAACCAAATCGAGTTCAAATGGTTTGGTTCCATTTCTTACAAACTTCAAAACCAAACTGAATCGCAAAAAAAATTGATTTTAGTTTCACCCAAAACCGCACCGAACCAAACTGTGCACACCCATATATATAAATTTTGTTCTCTTGAAATGAACAATGGAGATTGTGTCAAAGGGTTTAAAATTTAAGTAGTTAATAGCATTTGTTCTTGCATACGATATTATGCGCTGGAATCCTTCGTCCACTATTATTGTTTGTAAATTGGTGGCCAAAGTGTTGGAATTTATGGTTAGCTACATGCACAGATTACAACCTAATACCAAGGATGAAAGAGCACACAAATCTGATGAAGCCATTAATGAATGATCGAGGAAGAGTCTTCTACTAAATGGGGACCTTATGTTCTCACTAGAATAGGGCTAGTTACTAAAAGAACGTGTTCCTCTTGAGCAGGGACTAAACCATTTTTTAGACGTATAACCACAACCGTTTCCACCTATCACATAAACTGCTTGGCAAAACTGCCCGCCCATTTACACTCGGGAAATTTGGAAAAGTAACCATATTTTAAACCTCATATAGAATTATAGCCACCATTTTAATTTTATGATAATTCTAACCAAAACTTAATGTAAAAGTACTAATATACCCTTAATGAAAATTTGGAAAAGTAACCATATTTTAGACCACATATAGAATTATAGCCATCATTTAGTTTTATGATAATTCTAACCAAAACTTGATGTTGAGATCTTGAAACATAAAAGAGATAGCCTCCTCAATACTACCCAATACCCCTATTCTCGAACCCTCCATTTCCTACACTCTTTTATATATATATGGATATTCAAATGTAATCAGAGAAAGTGAGATTTGAAGATAACCTAGTAAACATAAAAATTAATTAGGAATTGAATCTCCGAAGCAAAATTTGAATCTAAAAATAGAGGAGCAAAAAGCCTTTTAAGCTAAAATCTGTGTGAGGTTTTTCTGCTAAACTGGTGATTGAAAATATAAAAGCCGATAATGTGATAAATCCCGAATAATATAAAAGCCAATAATGTGATAAATCCCGAATAATATAAAGCCCAATAATGTAATAAATCCCAAAGAAAAACATTCACATCATGTGTTGGAATGGAGTCTAATTGGATTCTTGCAAGTTTGGCGATTGTGGCCTGTCCCACCACAGCGACTGCACTTCTTCACTATCCTTTCCTCTCCCTGAGATGGGATTCTGTTTGTCTTGCGTCTTCCAGATACAACTTGTCTGATTGGAGGTAACACAACTCTATTATGCACCTCTTCTGGCACACTCCATTCACTCTTGTTTCCAACCGGCCAAATGGGCTCCGCATACGCTAGCACAATTGCATTGGCTGTGTAGAATTTGGAGCACATAGTGTACACTAATGTGTTGCGAATTCGACATGCAGCAGTTGCATGGACACATGGAAGCTGGTCGAGATCAAACCTTCTACACGTGCATGACTTGGCATTTAGATCAACTATATGATATAAGTCTGCCTCATGTACTTGCAATGCATAATGATTAATGGAAGATACCTGCATAGTTGACAAGTAACAACCAACAACAAGAGACCAATTAATCATAATTATCATATTCTTTTATCAACCTGTTTATTTGTTTGAAACATTTTAACTATGTTTTTTGTTAACAAAATATGCACTAACCACATAGATTTGGCCGTCATCCAACTCACTTGACCATGAAATATTACATGCTTCAAGGCCACAACTGATTAAATAAAAAGTTAAGAAGAGTGAAAATAGCTTTTTGTTGGTTCCTTTTTTTTTTTTCCCTTCATATGTTCTTGGTATGGATTCTATGTAAATTTAGGTGTCCAGTGTGCATTAGGAATGTGAGAGTGCATAAAAATGTAAACAAATCATACATACCGACATACGCAAGCCTCTATTTTGATTCTTGTGCACTTTTTCCTCTGCCCACTTTGTCAAGGTCGAATTCCATGAACTTGCTGTGTTCCGACGTTCGTTGAACCACTCTTGTAGTATACCTCTAAGGTGATCCGCTAGAGCAATGATAGGCAACTTTCGAGCATCCTTCAGTTTTGCATTCATGGATTCGGCAATGTTGGTTGTCATCATGTTGTATCGTTTTCCACTGAAATGTGCCCGAGCCCATCTATGATACCCAATTTCTTGAAGATATTTTCCTACTTTTCCATCTTTGATTGCCCAAATATCAGTCATAACACTATTAAACTCTGACACAAGGTATGCTTTTGCCGCAGTGTAATATAACTTAAACATCGTTTCATCATCACCAAATTTAGTCCTCATGTTGCCAGCTACATGATACATACAAGCTCCATGATATGCCTCTGGAAACACAGTTTGTACAGCTTTACCAATACTTCCATGTCGATCAGATACAAACACCAAGTCTGCTACCTCTCCAATGGCACTTCTCAATTTTGTAAGAAACCATGTCCATGAAGCGTCATTTTCTGAGTCACCCACACCAAATGCTAAAGGATATATTTGATTTTGTCCATCATGGCATACAGCAACAAATAAGGTGCCAAGATATTTACCCTTTAGAAAAGTCCCATCAACTGCTACCACAGGCCTCATAGAACCACGAAATCCCCTTATAGAGGCTCCCATTGCCATGAAAAAGTATAAAAAGTGATTATTGTCATCCGTTTCTATATGTGTTATTGTCCCAGGGTTTTTACTTTCTAACATGGCACAATAGGCAGGAAGTGCGGCAAAAGATTCCTCTGGCGACCCTCGGATCATGTCAAATGCGTGCTCTCTTGCTCTCCAAGCTTTCTCGTAGCTCATATTAACCCCAACTTGTGCTCGCATATCCTCAATGAAGTCTTTAGGTCTATATACACGTGATGCCCCCTCATACTTTGACTTTATAAATTGGCCAACAACAGAACTACTTGCTTGCCGATGATCACGCTGAACAACATCTAATGAACAAGAATGATTAGTTTCAAATTTTCTTACTTCAAAAAATTCTGACACTTGTAACTTGGTTGCACGAAGTCGCCACTTGCAATTATCATCCACACATCTAATTTCCAAACGATCCTTAGTTGATCTTTCCACTTTAAATTCATAATTCTTCCTCATTGCAATCATAGCTAATTGTTTTTGCAACTCTTTCTTACTCGAGTACAATTGTCCGACCATAATATCTCCATCTATATTCAAATCTGCAATATTATCATAGTCTTGTATGCTCTTACGCTTGTTACGACGAGACGACGATAGATTGAAATTGACATCGTTCGACTGCACATTATCGAAATGGGTACTGTCATGATAGTCATCAGTAAACTCAAAACTCACATCTATTGAAGCCTCACTAATCTGGGCATTGTCTTGAAGAACTTGACTTGGTTGTTCATCACTCAAAATGTCATCATTCTCTTGAATTCCCACTGTTGGTGATGGGGAACTGCATGCAATTGGGTGTTCATCTTCAGGTTCATTTAGAGGATATGTTGTAACATATAACGGAATCTTGTTCGGTTTTGCAGAAAGACTTTCACATACCCAACTAGTCACATCGTCGTTGTCTACAATCTCCATCATAGTTTGTATCCCTAAGTTGCTAATGCATTGATAATGTACTGAGATTCTAAATTCACTTGGACTAACATGAAGACGTTTATATATACCTTGTATAAGATCTAGATGAGTAACTTCGGTTGACACTACCATTGCTTTCGCTTGACCATCTGTGTATTGGCTATCAACCCTCCTCCATCCGTAATGGACCACGGTAACAAATTGAGTCATTTTCTGAAGGAAAAAAAATTAATTAGCGCATCTAACTAACCTGCAAATATATTAAAATTAGGAAAAAGTTATAGAAAAAATTAATTAGCACATATAACTAACCTGGGTTTTGGGTTTAGGGTTTCAGTGGTGAAAAATGGACACCTCCTTGCAGCAAACCCCTAAACCTTAAAATTCAACGCCAAGCATAAGGTCCTGATTTTCCAATGCTTTACCAAAGCTTTACCGATGCTTCCATGGACACCTCTCTTCTTGTGATTTTCTTCCTGTTTTTCTTTCGCTGTTTCTTTTTTTTTTGTCAAAATTCAACGCCAAGCAAACCCCAAATTGTTCTCTCGCTGTTCTTTTTTTTTTTTGTCAAAATCTCTTCCTGTTTTTCATTCTTAGTTGACTGATGTTGATTAGGTTTTGTTTTTGTTGTGAGAAACCCTAATATTAAGGGTATATTAGTACTTTTACATCAAGTTTTGGTTAGAATTATCATAAAATTAAAACGGTGGCTATAATTCTATATGAGGTCTAAAATATGGTTACTTTTCCAAATTTCCCTTTACACTCCGACATGGGATATCCTTTCACCAACATGTTTAACCTTATTGTCCTACTTTAAAGGAAAGAAGACTTATTCAAATATTAACTCTAACGGATTCCAGTTTCAACTAAACTCAAAACCCTAATGAGATAAGTTTAGAGTCCAATAGGGTTCCAACACAAAGATACTAACAAAACAAAATTACAAGGATGTCCATGCCCTTAACATGTTTATCGGAAATGGATATGCAAGGTTATAGTATTGTTCTCTTTCGTGATTTGGATTGTGTTTACTTACATAAAGAATCAGGAATAGAATTTTGTACCAGAACAATTAGGTATCGTTCAATCACAACTGCTACTAATTCTAATAAGTAATAAACGATGAAACAAACAAACAAATCCGCTCACTAATCCCTATCTTGTAAACACTTAAACATTGTGTTAAACAATTGATTTTCAATGAAATAATCATACAATTTGTAACTCTTGAATCATATCGATCTTTCGGGTTCCACTTCGGTCCTACACAGTGTTAAATCCTATGAGTCTCAAACAGTCTGAACATACCAGATCACAATAAAAATAATAGACCAAACCAATTTAGACCATTCAATACTCATACATTTAATGCTCCGCAACATAAATTTTTTTTCTTCTTGTTTTCTTTCCTTTTCAAGGCCCGATTAATAGCAAGCATATGACTTCATTCCATAGTATATGGAATCCATACAACCAGTATCAGGCCCAAATAATTTGGAATTTGGGCCTCGACCAGTTTGAACATAATAATTCACAATTTTGGGCTGGCCCAAGCTATCTAACTGCTACAAACAGGAGGTTCTCTAAAAGTTATAATTCTTGTAGCCGTTATATCAAATTTAAACGGTCCAGATCTTTTGATCTTTAGACTCAGTTTATTTGGGTCCGGAGGAGATCCAGTTCTGTTTAAAGAATCGGATCCCCTCTGTACCCAAATAAATTGAGCCTCCTAAGCAAATGATTTAAGCAGTTGAAATTTGATCAAACGGCTACAAAAAGGATGCACTTTAAGAGTTATAATAAGTGTAACATTTGAATTAAATTTTAACGATGCAGATCTCTAGAAGGGATCCGGTTCCCTCGTCTATAACAAAGTGGCGACATGTCAAGAGCCAAAAACGCGACTGTTCATCCGAAATTCGGATTCCGAATCATCAGACGAAGAGAGATTAAAAAAAAAAAAAAAACTAATGAAAAATGTATAATACCATGATTGATTTTTAATGTAAAAATGTGATTTTTTGTTAAAATGAACGATACCGTCTTTTTCTTTAAAGTTTTCGTTAAAGTTCCTAACAAAAATTCAAAATCCTGGGTAACCAAAAGCGAGCCAGAGAGAAAATGGAGGGCGAAACCGGAATCGACGTCAAAGTGATTAATCAGCCGTCGTCGACGCCATCGCGCTTGAAGAAGAAGAAGAGAGTGACAGCCCAGAAATCGCCCCAGAAGGCTCCGCCCTCTTCTTCCGCGGAGGACGACGACGGGAGTCCAATCAGGCAAATTCTCTGTGTCAAAAACAAGGTCGATGTTAAACACTTCGAGGACGTCGAGGACTGCTTCATTTTGGATTTCGACCCCTCGGAGCCGGTGCAGTTGTCCAAGTTGTCAGTGTCGGTTAATGGTGGTGGTGGTCACGATGGTTCTCCCGATATCGCTGTTGTTGCTGAGAAAGGACAGGTTTTGATCTTTACCCATGACCCATTTATTTCTTTGTGTTAATTTTCTTTCTTTTGTTTGGTTTCCGGGAAAATGCAGGTAAAGAACTGAATTTGAAATCATTAACTCCATTTTGTTTCTTTGTTCTTGTGTTTGGTTGCTGGGAATATGCAGGTGAAGAAATGGATTTTAAATTAGAACCCCATTGTGGCATTTTGCCTTTGAACCTTCAGATGTTTAACCTCAAAAGATTTGAAATTTATAAGAAGTTTCCAACTTTTTGGCTTATCTGTTCATATTCCAATTTTTGTGAATTTATGAGCTAATTTTGTGAATATCTGATGCCTTGTGTTGGTTTGAATTGATGCTGTGTAGGTTGCTTGTAGAGACTATCCACATTCAAGGCACCTCTGCCTGAAATTTCCTTTCGGGACGACACCCCATGAGAGCTACTGTGATCTGGTAATGGAGTTTTACAACTTCAAATCTTTGCGTCTTGTGACTGTATCCCTGATTCCCTAGTTCTGTTGTTTAACTTGGCATCTGAAAAGTGAATTCACTGACTGTATGCAGTGCTACTGCTACGTTTGTGATTCTGCCGCTCCATGTGGGTTATGGAAACCATCGCATTGCCATGCCGCTGCGCACATTGGTGATTGGAAGTCCAAAAGGATGTTGAGGAAGCAGCAAGCCGCGGTGAAGAAGTGAACAAAACTCTCGTTGTTTAGCCGAATTGCAGTTAATGGGATGCGAGAAATACCAAAAAACTGAACCGTTGTTCCGCTATTAGGCCGATTTGCAGTTATGGGATGCGAGAAATACCAGGAGAGTGAACTGTTGTTTTGCTCGTAAGCAGTCAAGTTCAAGTAATTTTGTTCATAGGGAAGGTACTTGAAATGGCGTTTGTTCTGACTCGAAAAATTGTAGTTACTGATGAACTTATGATGTTGGTAGAGATGGAATCAAATTTGATCAGTTCAATTCGAGTTGTTTTCTTGTTATGGTTTGCAGGTATAAGTGGGTTTTATTGCTGGTAACCGGAATTGCATATGCCTCATGACATGGAAGAGCATCTATCAAGTTGCAAATGTCTTTTGTTGCTTATTCGGAGAATTAAAATCTTCATGAACGTGATGGTTCATCAAGCCGCTAGTATCTCAAGATCCTTTCAATGATCTATGTTGTGTTGAAGGGATATCTGTATGCTCCGATTGATTGCGGAAAGTCCTGTGAGACCTTAATCGGATGTGTAGTCATAGGTAGACCTGGCATTTTGGACCCGACCCGTTAATATTAGTATTTGGGTGAATGTTTAGCGGGTGAATCCGTTAATAACCCGTTAAATAACTGGTCACTTTGGATCAACCCGTTAGACCCGTTAGCACCTGTTAGTTGAGAATGTTTTAGTAATTTCAATCAAGTCTTAACAACAAAAATAAACTTTATGAAAAAAAAAGATTTAATTGTTAACGGGTGAAACGGGTGACCTGTTAGCTTAACTGGTATGGTTCGGATGACCCGTTAGCGTAACGAGTTGGGTTCAGATGATCCGTTAACTTAACAAGTCGGATTGAACCCGATCTAAACCCAATAAACCCGACCTATTTACAGGTCTAGTCATAGGTGGGAGGTGGCGACGCACAACAACCAATCATGTCCCGTTGCTTGAAAGAAAAAAAACTCAAAAAAATGGGTGATCGAAGGTTAGCGTCTGGTTAAGTTCTAGTAGGGGCTTTGCTTAACCGGACACATCAGTTGGTAACCAAAATTTGGCGTGATAAGTTAGTGTATTTAGAATTATCTCTCTCTTAACATGATTGCAACATATAAACATGTAACTTTGGCCGGTCGTCGTTGTAAGCATGCTAAATTTCTTGCATCCGAGTTTGAATTTCCTTAATACAGCACACGTGATTTAGTCATTGGGCTTATGTGTGCCAAGATATGAATGTGGGCGAATTGTACCAAATACGGCGGGCCCAATTGTAACAAGAACCCTTTGCCCTCGCGAATCATCATCAATCATATATCATCCATCTCCGTCTCGCTTTCTCTATACCCACTGCTGCTCCTGCCGAACGGCCAAGACTGTTCCCCTTTATCCGTTTCAGAATTCCAGAGCTCCGCCGAGGAACACAAAAGATGTCACCGGCTCCACTTGTTCAGCAGGACGCCGCCGCCGCCGACGAGGTCTCCTCCGTCGAGCAGCTTCTCAAGAGCTCTAATCCGGTAAAGCTCTTCCCTTTTCCCTTTTTTGTGGGGATTATATAATTTGTTTTCATTTTCCGTTTTTGTTTATTTACTAAGTTTTGAATGTTGGACTGGTGTTATTGGCAGAACAAGGAGGAAGACGAAGTGGTGGTCGAGGACGTGAAGGACGACAATGACGAGGACGAGGACGATGAGGACGATGACGAGGACGACGATGATAAGGAAGACGGCGCTCAAGGTTGCTCTTTTTTCCTTCTTGTCTTTTCAATTTTACGGCATATTCGTCATTTGGTTTCTGCTGTTTATTTGTTCTCTGTGCTTCCTGAATGTTCCCTGTTGCCTGGAGTTTTGGATTTGTTACGAATATTAGGAGCACGCAGAGGATGAAAAGTTCAGATTTTTATAAAGGCTATGGAAATATTGAGAGTTTAAAAGTTTTCTTGGCTGATTTTGATGTTAGTTTTTGAGATGTTTTCGACCCAAAACGTAGATGCATGATTTTTTGTTCATTTGTGCTAATGTTTCTAGGATTCATATAGCCCACTTAGGCCCCGTTTGGGATTGAGGTGATTTAAAAAAAAGCCACTGTGAAAAAAAGCTGAGGGTCATTTTTGTGTTTGGTAAACTGAAAAAAAAGGGCTTATTTTGGAAGCTGCTGTGAGAATAAGCTGAAAATCAAAGGAAAAGCTGAAGCTGCTATTTGCTGCTTTGAAAAAAAGCCAGTTTTTTCAAAGCACATGGAGCTACAGTGCTCCTTTAATGAAAAGACACACTATCATCCTGCTTTTTTTTCCAAAAGCACTTTCACAAAAAAGTTTACCAAACACTCTACTGGCTTTATTTCACGGCCGCTTATTCTCACAGCACAGCCGCTTATTCTCACAGCAGTTTTTTTTCAAAGCACAGCAATACCAAACCAGCCCTTAGTGGGATAAGGCTTGGTTGTTGCCGTTGTTGTTGTTTTTGACACGAAGTGTAGTTCAGTTTGTTCTGAACTATAAAGATTCAAACTGTTTTCGTTCGTTTATGCTACGGTTTCTTTGTGAGCCTGATTTTTTTTGTGTTTGATTACAATGAGTTTGTGTTATTTATGTTGTCCTTAAAGTGATCTTGATTAGACGATGATGAACAGGTGGAAGTGGGGCTTCGAAGCAGAGTAGAAGTGAGAAGAAGAGTCGAAAGGCTATGTTGAAGCTTGGGATGAAGCCTGTTACCGGCGTTAGCAGGGTTACCATCAAAAGGACCAAAAACGTAAGTTGATGTTTGGTTTCCAGTTGGTGCAATTGGGATATTGTTGTATGATGCTCGATATTCATTGTTTGTTTGCTATTTCTTGGTGTTTCAGATACTATTTTTCATCTCGAAACCTGATGTGTTCAAGAGTCCAAACTCTGACACCTATGTCCTATTTGGCGAGGCCAAGATCGAGGATTTGAGCTCCCAGCTTCAGACACAGGCTGCTCAGCAGTTCAGGATGCCAGACATGAGTTCTGTGACGGGGAAACCAGAGATTTCGGCAGCAGCTGCTGGAGCTCAGGATGAAGAGGAGGAAGAGGTTGATGAAACCGGGGTGGAGCCTAGGGACATTGATTTGGTCATGACACAGGCTGGGGTATCGAGAAGCAAGGCCGTCAAGGCGCTCAAGACTCACAGCGGGGACATTGTCAGCGCTATCATGGAGCTCACCACATAATTGGCCAATGTCAACAGTTTTTGTCAAGCTCATTGTTTACTTGATGAGTGTTTTGAATCAGTGTCGTGTCGGTCATTGGTTTTTGTAGCTCAATCGGACGCCCGTCTATGTGTATCTGGATTGTGCTTCTCTATTCTTGTGGAGACTCAAAACATTGGCAGTGATGGCTTTCAGGTTTTCTGATGAACTTCACTCCTGAGTCATGAGTTTTTAAAGTTTCTAATTCATCTTTTAATTAGAGACGAGATTTGACTACCTAGTACTAATGATACCAACAGGATCCTCTCCGGATTCTTTTGGTGGGGATCCTGGAGATTCGTAAATCGTATTTGTTCATCGTACATCGTACAATCAGTTTTTGTTAGGTATTATTTGTATTTAATTTTAAATAAAAATATTTAAAATGATTTCTAACCGCACAATGTACGATGAACGAATATGATTCACGGATTTTCAGGATCCTCATAAAAAGGATCCGGATTCCTAGTAATATTCTTATTTGTTTGTAAGTGGGAGGAGGTATTAGGTTTGACGACAAGCTTAAAACTTGTTGATCAAATCTCATATCTTATTAAACAGTGTCTGTAGGATAACATGGTTTATGTTGTCATATAGTATTACTCTTAGGTGATATTCATTTTTACTTGTAAATGAAGAGTTTTAAGTTTGTTTGTCGTAATAAACTTTTACCAAAAACAAGAATCAATAAACAAAAAACAAGTAAACACAACATGGTGGTCCAATGGTTTGGACGAATTCCAGGACCATATATCAAATGGCATGTTCTAAGTTCAATCTTTGTTGTTGATGAATCATATGATGGTGTTCATGAGAGGATAAAATTCTCTGTGAGTCTTTCCAACCACCGACAATATAAACTGTTGTGATGAAGCCACTAGCTGATCCTATTTTACGAGAAGAATAAACCAAAACGAGTGGTGAACTGCAGAATAAAAAATGAGTGCATTTTCCATCGGAAAAATATTGCAAGAGATTTAATGATTGGGCTTGGTGGTGCCGCCAAAAACTAGCGGGCCCACTCAGAAACCGAAACCCTTTGCCCTCGCGAGTCATCGTCTCTCTATACGCCGCTGCGTCTGCGTTACGAATTTGCTAAGACATCATATTTTTATCCGTTTCAGAGCTTCTAGTCTCCGCCGACAAACCCGAAACATGTCACCGGCTCCACTGGTTGAGCCCGAAGCCGTCGCCGCCGAAGAGGTTGTCTCCGGCGACCAGCTTCTCAAGAACTCTAATCAGGTAAAGCTCCTCCCTTTGTTTAAAGTACCCATTTTTTGTTTGGTCTATATATGTTTCGATTTCCGAGCTGCTACTGTTGTCAGACCAAGGAAGAAGAGGAAGTCGTGGTCGAGGACGTCAAGGACGACGACAAGGACGAGGACGAGGACGATGAGGACGACGATGATGACGACGATGATGACAAGGAAGACGGCGGTCAAGGTTTGTCCTTTTTTTTTTTTGCTGTTCTTATCCTTTCGATTGCTTGGAGTTTTGGATTTTCCATGGATGTCTTTGCGTTTTTTAAGGGCATGTTTGATTGGTAGGAGCATATAGAGGGTGAAAATATTAGACTTTTGCAAAAGCTATGGAAATAATGAGAGCATAACAGGTAGCTCGAGTGATTTTGATGTTAATTTTGAAGTGTTTTCGGTAGAACCCAAAAGCCGAATCGTAGTTCTGTTTGTTGTAAACTATAAAGATTCAAACTTTTTCATTCATTTATACAGTATTTTTTGCTGCTCAATCCCAATGAGTATGTATTATAACAGGTGGAAATGAGTCATCGAAACAGAGCAGAAGCGAGAAGAAGAGTCGGAAGGCAATGCTGAAGCTGGGTATGAAGCCTGTTACTGGTGTTAGCAGGGTTACAATCAAGAAGACCAAAAACGTAAGTTGCTGTCTGATTTCCGGTTTGTGAAGTTGAGATATGGTTATGGGACGGTCGATGTTGATTGGTTGTTCTTTTTTTGTGTGTTTCAGATGCTGTTTGTTATATCGAAACCCGATGCCTTCAAGAGTCCAAACTCCGATACCTATGTGATATTTGGCGAGGCCAAGATT